AAATTAGAACACTCCTGTTTTCGTCCACTATTTAGGTTCACTGGTATCTCTTCTTAGCTTGCAAAATAAAAAGAAGGCAATGTTAAAACAGTCAATAATATTAATTGTCCCAGGTGTACCTAGTTAATGAATAAAGCCCAGAAATCATTTAGAAATAGTTTGGACACTGAAGCAGCATACTGTTAACATCCAAGTTTTCTTTCCCACTCTACCTTAAAGCAAGTATAAATATTTTACTTAGAAAATCCCTATGAACCAAAAGGTAAAAATCTTTAAATTCTATTTACACAGTAAAAAATGGACAGTCACATAAAATACCCTGTCATTATACCAAACTGAATTTGAATGCTTTTAAATCCTAGCTTGATGTTAAAAGACTTTTAAAAAACTCCTTAAACGTTTACATACCTAGGCCTCGGTAGCAGCAGTGTTGTGAATAGTAGGGCTGGCACTGACCGGGGCAAGAAGACAGCTACAAGGATTTGGCCCTGAAACAAGTTTCCATACAGAGGGGTGAAAGTTCACAGGTTATTCTGTGAACAGTCATCTCTCTTGTATCCAACCCACTGAACCATAATTTCCATCAAAGCAGCAAACCACTTAATGTCTTAAGATGCACAACTATATACATTAGCATGGTCAACAGTCATTTTCACACATTAAGAAATAAATATGTGATGCCTCTATTTTAAAGGACATCCATGTACACAGAACAGATGAATTCTACTGTTGATCTTTATTGGCCATTTTCCTTTTAATTTATAACATCTCAAAATCCTGCTTTACTTTCCCCTTGTTCTTAAATTTTAGACTTATGTTCTCTAGCACATATATAGCAAAAGTCATTAACTTATCAACAGAGGGAGTCAAAAATTTGGTATCTCTGGGAAGAGTATGCATTAATCATTTCCTATATTGATAAGTTAATGCTAAATTTTTAAAATCTTATTTTTACACAGTAGTAAAACTGTATTATTTTTTCCCCCAGCTTTGTAAATTATATGCTGGGGAAAAACATGCCAATGATGTGTGACTAGACATTAAGTACAACTAGGTGCTCTGATGGAAGGAGGCAGCTGTGGAGGTAAAAACATACCCCTGGTTCAGTTCCTTATTTGGTGCAGGCCATGCAGTGTTGATGTATAAAGAGAAAAGTTAGCTGATGCTTGGATATCAACTGCCTTGTTGCTACACACCTAAAATGACTTTTACTTACTTCCAGGTTCATCCGCCCCTCTTTTCCAGGCAACACTCCTAAAAAAAAGGGCAACTGTGCAGAGTATAATACAAAACCCCAAATAACCCAGGCTTCCGACTCGGTTTCCATTCTCTACTATCTTCATGTTTCTTTACCCCATTGTGTATATAGTTCACCAAAAAGCTGCTTAATCTAATGAGTATAATAGTAAACAATACTCATCGGGTCATCAGGTCATGTCCAAATCACTTAATTCCAGAAAATAAAGGTTCTTTTAAATTAATAACCACTTAAAAATGTCTTACTGACATAATAATGGTAAAACTCCCATCTTTTTTCATCTAAGAATATACTGCAACAAACTAAAAATGAATATGGACTATGTTGGCATTCCATGTGGTTTTTAACATAAAGGAGGGTGTTAGGCTAGTGCAAGGCAAGAAAAACTATGTGATCACTGAAAGTTTTCTAAACACAACAAAGAGACCATTGACAGTGAAGATAAATGATAAATTTCCAGCTAATGACTTTTCCACATTTTTATAAATGTTCATTCCTTCCTTGATATCAGTAGCAAATATTCTTCTGTAAACATATAAATGGGAGTTTTCCTAAAAGCATTGCTTTCTTGTTATTATTTAAAAACTTTCATGAACACATCTCATAATTTATCAAAATGCCTTACATGTAAATTTAAAATAATGTGATTGAAAATCTGTCAACTGCCTACATGACTAGAAATCAAAACTTTAAGGGAAAGTTTGCAAGAACCAATTTTAATCAGTAGAAGATTCATTTTTGCAAGTTATGTTAACATGATTTTTAGAACTATATAAGCATTATGGATCAGTACTTCATTATACAAATGAAGACCAAAATTTTACAATGGAATCACATTCAGAAGTTCCTACCTAGTAATGTACAAGACTATTTAATTTTTATCTGCCTAAACACCCACGTAAGCTTCAATCTAACTTCCTGAAATACTGAGACTCAAGCTTCAAGATTAAATAGTATTAAAGAATTAAAACTACTGAAATAGGTGTATATAATTCTTCCCAATGAGATGAAGGCCATTTTCAAATACTATCCAAATCACTCTACTTTAAATACTATAATTGGTCCAAAATGAACTCAAAATTAAAAATATTTTTACTAGATTTTCGTTTTTTTCCAACACCGACCCCTAGTAAATGACATAAAAGTTGTAAATTTTTAATGAATCTGGCCATATACTCACTAAACACATAATAGTGTACCTAAATGTACCAAAAATGGCAGGTAAATTGAGGATGTATCATGTTTTATATTAATTTGTTAATAAGAGGATCAACAGAGATAATGCTATCAAAACTGAAACGTTATGAGATTAAAATATCCAAAGCAACTAAAATCTCATTTTGCGGAAATTCAGCTCATTCACTGGCAATCATAGCAATTCTTCATAGGTGCCCATCACGTTATTAATTATTGCCCTGTGAAGCAGTAATAAGAACCTGTCTTCTCATGACACTTGGGAGACTGAAATTCCAAGTATATTACTTGCCCATGATCACAAAAGCAGTCAGGAGTACAGCGGGATAAAGAAACCTTCCCAATCCTTAGACCACGCAGCCTCCCAGTTTCAGCACTGCCATACTGCCAGTACTCCTGAAACAAATGTCCCATCACCCATCCAACCAAGCCACGTCCCTTCATCAGAAGGCATTTCTTTAGAAAGCCCTTCTTAACCACCTAAGACTCCCCCAACAATGAGGCAGCCGTAGGTGGAGTTCACAGGTCTCACTGCAGGAATCTGAAACCAGGAGCACCTACATCTTCACAGCACCAGGCGTCCATCCTCTCCCTTGAATTTAGGTCTTACATATCCTGTTTTTTCAGGAGATCAGTGGTTCTCAAATTGAGCCTGTGGATCACCAGAGGCCACCAGGGCCTAAATGGTGGTCCACAGATAGCATTCTCCATCCCCACTCCACCCCCTTCACCACCCCTTCAGCACTGCCCACCGTCCCCCCCCCACCCGCCCCCAGTCCAACCATCCTCCCCAGCCTTCCGGTCCCATGGCAAGATCACCACATGCAGTGCTAATACTGGGGCCTCCCAACCAACTTGCTATAACCAGCAGCTGACAACCACAGGGATCGGGGTGATCACCAGAAGGGTGAGAAATAAGGGCCAAGAGAGCTTACAAGAGGGCACAGGCACTAAAGAAGGGGAAAGAAGGACAGAGGAGCAAAGAAATGGAAAATCTGGGTGGTAAGAGGGCTCTTGGGGACAGTGATCCACCAAAAATAAACCTGTAATAAAGTATCCCATGATGAGAAAAAATTTGAGAACCACTGCTTTGAAATCATTAGATTAGTAGTCCAACAGGAACTGTGGAACATTCTGAACAGCACCTGAGATACACTGTTAGCATTCAAAACACAGTTTTTAAAAAACCACCCCCAAAAAGACCAGCAGCAGCAATAACAAATAACTTCAGGATATAAACTGAGCGGCTCTTGAGCCTTATTTATACATTTGCCGTTGTCTCATGAATCAGGTCCATCTTCAGTGTCCATCCTAGAGTATGCACACACAGCAAATTTACTCATGAACTTTGGTTATAGTTACTGGCCTCTCCGTGCATTTTTAATAAAACATTTTCTAAAAAAAATCTTAACTTTGTAGTTGGACACTTTTGTACGTGCATATGTTGTGTACCTTTTTAATCCAGGCTTGGGCACCAGTATTAGCCAACTGTTCTTGTGTCAGAACCTGTACTCCTGTACTTCCGGTGAATTGGCCGGGAATGGAGTTCAGCTGAGCCCAGGCATCAATCTGAAGAAAAAAAAAAAGATGCCTCAATCAACTGAGTAAAATTACTTGTCTAGTCAAAAATGCCCACTGGTTTATTTCACTAAATGAAATGGTTTTATTTAGTTCTTGAAAAGGCTGAATAAGACTTATTCAACTTTTAGAACAATTTGATGAATGCATACATATTTAAAATGTTTTCTTAAAAGCAGCACTTTGGTAACATTCAGTGGGTGCCATTAGTAACAAGATTTGAGATGTACATCTAACAACTGAAAAGCATTAACGATAATACTCATTCTCCAAAGCATCACATGGATACATGAATACAGAAAAGAGTTTCATGCAGCACAGGATCCCTGCCCTCTGCTTTATGTACCTCATATAAATGCAATCTAATAAATGTTATGATCGCCTGAGTTTTTAATTAATTACCTTCTTTGTGGTATTAGAAATCCAGAATTCAAGAGACACGCTTAAGGAGTAATAAATGCAGGGAATTATTCAAACCCAGAAAACAGCCTTCTTTAAAACCTGAGCCCTACATTAATCACCAGCATTTATTGTGATGGTTAAAGAATCAGTTGTCCTTCAAAGTATATTTGCTAATAAACATTGGTATTGTTAGGCAGTGTATTTATCTGTCTGAACATGTATTTGTCGTTTCTATATAGATCTACCACAGGAATGTAGAAGACAAAAGGAAAAGCTGTCCACTGTTAAAAATTTAAGTCTAGACTCTGGCCTCAGACTGCCTAATCACTTTTTTTTTTTTTAATTCCAGTGTAGCTAACATGCAGTGTTACAGTTGTTTCAGGCTGACTAACCACTCTTTACTCAGTTTCCTCAGCTGGAAAATGGGACATCATAATAGTACCTACAACTCACAGAGCTATGATGTACACAGCTACTTTAATATTCCAGATTACAAACTCAGTAAGAGCAGGGATTTTTTTTCTATTTTAACTCTCTTAAACATTAGTTCCTGCCACACAGTACACAATAAACATTTACTGAGTGAATGACCATGCCCCAAAATCACTTTCATTTAAAATAAGCTAATTACAATAAATTACTTATTTCCTTGGATTTTTAGGACCTACATTTCAACAGCATGCCACAGAATTTACTTATGTCACAACCATCTAATTAGTTAAATTCTCATTTAGCAGACATTAAAACTGCTACATACCCTTTCCTGAGCTCGATTTAACATGCTCATGGCTTCAAGGTCAAATGCATTCTCACTTAGTCTTTTCTGAGCAAGTGCCCGTTCACTCATTGCTGTAGAGATGTCCACAGGCTAAGAAAGAAAACATAGATAATTATCTCAAATTATGATAGACCCCCTAAATTCTAAAAAGTGCTCATATCTTTAGTTGCTACATATCAAAAATGAAACAGTAATCTTACATATTAATAATCTTGTAAAGTACAGAAAAGATACCAAGAAGTAAAAGAAACTTGGAAAGCAGATGAGGATCATTTAAGGTAAGTTACACGCTATCAGAAGCAGCAGCTGAACTCAACCCAACATCTGAACTTCAAATTTCATATTTTCTACTGTATTTTCTACTGTATCAAATTATGATCACAGAAAATTGCACAAAGAACTTAAAACTCTCTAGCCTTCACTAACAAAACAGTCATTTACAAAAACTGGTACTTTTTTCAACTGTTTTGGAACTATTAATTTTATATTCATGAGCAATTTTCATTTTATCCTATTTCTTTTTAGCATAATGTTCAGAAGCAATAAGGTTCTTGAGTAAGCAAGCAGAAAACCACTATCAGGTCAGTTGGTCTTTTACTCATCTGCACATCTTTTCACCTTCTTGCAGTTGCTCAGAGATACAGTTTGGTCTTAAGAATTCCACTTCTTCAAAGAATGTATTTACTATATACATAAACGAATCCTTTGTTTTCAGTTTATATGTATTAATGACCCAAATTAAAATATTTCTGGGGGGGTACATAACAACATGAACCAACACATTTAAAATTAAATATGTCTGAAATGTCTTAGGTCCTCCTTTTCAAAGCTCATATCCTACCTGTAAAAATGTTATGCTAAGCAGAGGTGACTTCATGGTTTAACTTTTTAAAACGTTTCATAATGTCCAGAAAAATTCTTAAGAACAAATCCCCAATTTATCAGATTTGTGGAAGGCTCAACCATAAAAGGAAAAACACATCAAGTAAGTATTTGATGTTCTTTGTTCTGATGTTAAGAGCTCATGTTGACTTGTATCATCACCAATTCTTATTACTTATTTTTCTTCTAACACAACCCATTAATATTTCCTAGTGATTTCACCCAAGAAAATTCATTTTTGGAAAATATTTGACATGAAAAGGTTTTCCTATATTCATATGCAAAACATGATTAGAGGTACTGCATGGATATTACAAATATAAGGAAGTCAGTAATATAAATTACAGCTAAGGATTTTTCTTAAAGCTAAGGGCTACCTGTAATTTAACTATGTACTACATATGAAATACTTCTTATAAAATAAAGACCTATATAGAAGGGTGTATGACTCTAAGAGAATAATTCTACCTTATGCATAAGGATACAAGAGAATAATTCTACCTCACGCATAAGGATTACTAGTCTCCCTTTTTCTACCTTCAGAACCTCTTATTATTCCATCATTCTTCGTTATCTTGCTGAGTCATCTCATAATACTCCCCCAGCAAAATTAAATTTTTTCTTCCACATAGATTCTTATGTATTGCCTTCTTAAAACGAAAGCAAAGCTAAATTCATTCTGTAATTGTTAAGACTGTTTACAGATCCCATGAAAGATCTTAACTGTCAACGTAGTAAATTATCCACACTAATTAGAATATGTCTGGGGCCTATAAAAAATAATCTAAGCAGTCACAATTAAACACTAAAACTCTAGGGGTCTTCACTTGTCACTTTTTTGAGAATTCTGATCAACTGCTGGGACTTTAAATAAATGGGAACCCAAATATTTCAGGCCAAAATTTACATTCCTTTGGCCTACCTTATGTGTTTCCTAAAACTGTCAGGTAGGATTACTGATGCAATTTGAAAGCCCAGCAAATATACCTCAAGTACTGTTCATTAACCTTGTCCAAATTACTTTGGGTAGCAGTCTGTAAATCTGAGGATGTTTAGGTATAAATAACAGGTTTTTATTCTGAAAAAGTCTAAGCTTAGAGGTGATAATGTGGAAAATCGATCTACTGACTACTTCAAGCCCTGATCCCCAATTTCCAGCTATAAATTTAGCCATGAAAATGTAAAGATGGCTCTAAAAGCTCCCAACTTCTCTAGAATAAAATTCTTCCCAATTAGAAAACAAATGAATACACACCTATGATCTGAAGACCTATCTTCATATATTTTTTAAGTCTTTAAGCAGATAATCTAAATGCCTCATCATTTATCCCCAGGATGAAACTTCATTCAAACCTCAGTAACATTTTGTTACATTCACATCTCACTCTGGAAGAAATTTTAATATAGCAACCTTGATGTTTAAAATAAATTCACTTCAGATAAAATGATAACCAGTTTTTTCCCTGACTACAACTTAATTCACTCAACAGGCTTACCAAGACAGTAATCTTACTATTCATTTTATATTCATATTTTTAAATGTGAAGAACATACTCAAAATAAAATGAACCAGGATTATCTGAACCTCTTAAGGATCCTCAAATGTTTGAATCAAAAAAGCATGTTTCCAGGTTTTCAAGGTAATTCAAGATATGTAATAATGTATAATCCCCAAAGCACTAATATTCAAGGACTAGACCAAATGTCACATATCAGTATTGAAACTCTCATTAAATATCACAGCTACCCTTTAGAACACTGGTCAGTAGTATTTTCTACAGTGACAGCTAATGAGCACTTAAAATGTGGCTAGTGCAATTAAGGAAATGATTTTTCAGTGGCTAGTGACTACTCTACTGGACTATATGGTATATGTATGTGTACATAAACACTATACAGTGGATCATACTATGTAGTGGAGCTTCAGAGCCTTAACCATCTTTCAGTGTTGCTCAGAAAGAGGAATAGGTTTAAGGTACCGAAATGATGTTAAAAAGCCCTTCTAAAAAGTAGGAAAAAATCTTAAATTTGATAGAACGCTATTATTAAGTGGTCATCAACAAGCCTCATTTGTTTCCACTGTTATACTACAAACTTTTAATCTAATGTATTAAGTCTAATTATGATACTATAATAATATTCTAAGTATTATAATTGGGGAAAATGTTTAGTTTCCTTTTCCCTAGGACTTGTTTTAAAAAGTGAAATCTACCTCGAGTATCCAATTCCAGTTCTCCTATAGTTAAAAACCTGTCCACGTTATTTCATTTCTCTACTACAGCAACACAGCAGATCACTTCTCCTATAATCCAAAAGTGTCAGAAATGAAATCATAATGTAACATGCATTTCACAGCCTAAGTTATAATCATGTCCTTTCTGTATCTTCCTCATTTAAAAACCCTTCTAAGTCAACTTCCTTACCCCTTTCGTTAACCCAGCTGTTTACATAAATACAAGTATAAGTATCTCAGGGGCATTTCTTAGAAAGTCAATTAAAGGGCTAAAGAGAATTATTAGGAGGGAGTCAGATAGGGAAAATAAGCCCTATAATATGAATTGTATTACTCTCTACCTAGACAATTACAGGTATCTTAAAACAGAGAGTATAAAAGGAAATGTTTAATTCAAAAAAACAGAATTAAAAAAAAAAGCATCTGATCTGTATGTAAAATAGGACTTTAAGATACTTATTAGCAAAAACTAATAAATTACAAAGAGGTTCATCTAGAAAAGAAAATGACAACTATAAAAACAAAAGCCACACAAAATACAGAATACCTCAGTTGTCATGGGTTTGGTTTTAAAATGTGAATTACGAATCTTTTATTACACCATATGGAATTCTCTAACATAACTCCTATACATTTAATCTGAATAAACTAGAATAAGAAAAACAGGTAAACTATTAAGTTGTTCAAAGAAATTCAATGTTAATCACCCAGGAGAATCTAAGGAAAAAAGAATGAATAGCAAGGCTGTATTTAACCATTCTAGCACTGCCCCAGGACCCATGTATTTAATTTTCAATTAAAATTTACATCTTACCCCAAGAACTTAACTTTCCTAAAGTATAAAGTTGGAACTTCTATACTTGAAGAACTTCTATACTTCCACTGGGAAGTGGAAATATTTTTTAATAAAACAAACCAAGCACACTGAGACAAGAATCATCTTAACATGTAAGCAATTACTAGACCTTAATGGAGAGCTACCTCTGGACCTCTGATAATTTATGATTAATAGTAAACCCAAGGAAATGTTATATCAAAGATTACATTTAAATCTTCTACCCAATAAGCCTCTAACTTTATTAGCAAGAATTAATGCCCCCAAGGACACTTTTTTTAAATATTAGTTTTCCACCATTTTTGATTTCACTGTTTAAGAATAAATCAAATTCACACAAATATGGTCAAAGTTCTGTAGACACTCCTTACTGAGGATGATGCTGGCTGGCTTCTGGGTAGGAAGACGATGCTATGGCAGTAAGGCACAGTCTGATGAGCTGATATTCCATAAGATACGGATTTATGTTGATCCATCCACATCTATCCACTCACGTTTATGTCAAAGAGCACTCATGTGCAAGACAATTGGTGGGGTTAAGGATTACAGCAAAGCTGAGACCAAATCTGTGATCTTTGCCTAAATGTTTTATGCTCAAAACTAAAAAACCACAAACTCCATTTATATTTATTAAAATGAAAAACACGGATAGGTTAAAAAATAAGTAAATACTAATCAGTTAAAACAGACCATTTGAAAGAACTTTCCTTTTACTCTATAAAAGCCTTTATTTCAACCCCAGACAGGGAATCAAAAGGGTCAATGCTCCCATGTCACCATTCCACAAACATTGGTATGTAGAACGTAATCTTACAAATACATGTATTTGCAAGATACAGCTAAATAACTAGGACTAAACGTTTTATATTGTGACCACTTCCTCTAGGTGTTTACTACTATTGTTAGGTAAAAGCACAGAGACCTGAAAGCAGAACGAAACCATGCTTTTTCTCTTCTAAAATTTTGGGATTGTTTTTGCTTAAAATTAACCTATGTATTTTTTGAGTCTGACTTAAAGAATTCTGGTATCATATAGTTGTATATATCCTCCCACAGAAGAAATCCGCTTCATTTATTTAGTTTTCCGACCTTTTTCTTCTGCTTTAATGAAAGACTGCTTAATATAAAATTTGAATACCCAACTTCTCCCCCTGGGATTTCTTTGGAATTCCCCCCAACTTTTAATTAAAACTGACAACTACTTTTGATGACTGATAAGGCTAAGGCATCACAGGGTCAGTGTTAAGACTGAAAATGGCAGAGTACTGAATTTCAAACATATATATACAGACACGTATAGATAAAAGTTTCAATAAAAAATACTCATCAGGATTCACTAAGCACTTTCTGCATGTTCAACTGTGGTTAGAATACTTATGATCACTTCTCAGGAAAATCCCTTGGAACTTTTCAATTATTTACAGGGCTTTACTCAGCTGAAAAATTTTTCTCACATAATCTCCCTATGTTTTCCAACTCTATTACATGCTTAATCTGCAAATTACTAAAAGCGTATGTATCAGAATTTCTAAATCAGTCTGTACTGGCCCTCTTACCATGATTTATATTCAGCCTACTACAAGATTTAAGTCAATTGTAGATGTCAGTTAACCTTTCCCTCTTGAGATGTGCAGGTAGTCTAATCTGGGGATTAGCAACTGAGCTACTGAACTGGTTTCACTAAAATATTGTCTAAATCAGCTATCCCTTCCCCACTGGTGAGAGTATAACTTGCTTCAACTACTGAATCCCACATAAATACAAATCATCACTGGTGACCATAAATTGCATTGGTTATTAGCGTGTCCAGCTTCATTGTATAGAACTTGCTCTCTCTTAAAATGCCGATCAAAAAAGCACAATAAAAAATGTCACCTGTGAATAGCTCAGGGGAAAAAAAATACTATCAAAAGAATTCTGATTTGGGTTCTGTTCACTTTCTGATTTTATAAACAACAGGATTTATTTGTTTGTAATAATGGAGGTGTTTAGTGGAAGACGATATGGCCAATGCAAGGAACCTGAGGTGGAGAGAACAGGTCTCTCTGACCTACATATCCCAGAACTGCAAGAAAAGGAAGTGGGGAAGAAGTCCCACATTGTAAGGGCATCAGATTATCTAGTCCAGTCCTTGGACAAACGTCTGGGCTTTGGAACCAAGGGCAAGAGGTGATAACTAATCTATAGTATCATTTAAAACTCCCACCCACCCTAGTAAGTCTCCACCCTCCCAGATCCCCCAAGCGTGATTTTGCACAACAAGTTAAATAAAAGTAAACTGTTTATTAAAAGATACAGCAAAGGTACAGATACAGAGATACATACAAAGATACAGATATATATATATATATATATTTACATATATATACAGTCTTGCTGTTTTCATGTGCACTATATTTAGCAGCACATTATTTAATCAGTCAGCATTTTAATGGGGTTGTTTTGACACTTGGTGTTATTACTGCGTCATTTTGACAAGATACAACTATAGCCTCATGGAAATTTCAAGGTGTGAATTCCACTTCTCCAACTTTTAATAGTAGCAAAGAGGGGAAGGAGAAGGGAAATGGAGTACCAAGGCTGAGCATTAGGTTAAACACAAGAATTCCAAAGGGCCAAGGTAGCACAGGGAAGGGAAAATGATTAAAATTAAAGGCTATCTGACAACCCAAAGAAATAGTAAGAAACCATTATTTAAGGGCAATGGGCTATGTTATATATCCAAGATGCTCACACATCAGCCTACAGTGACCTTTTACAATCCAGTTCTTGTGTTGAACCTGAGGATCTGCCTCTCTCTGTTCAATCCCTCCACCCAGTAAATTTGCTACCACCAAAATCTAGAGCTATAGAGCCTCGAAGCAAAACGGGAAGCTAAATAGTTGTACCTTGGGCTACCTTCCCATAAGTGCAAGGAGGGCCCAATGTTGGGTAGGGATGTGATAACACTGTTCTCTGCAATTCGATGCTTTTCACTTTGTGGCTTGGTTCCACAAAGTGAATTGCATCGAGTTACTGTCAAATGAGAAGCTGCGGGTTGTTTCATCTGTCGTCTAACCCGGCCCTGCCGTTTAACCCGGCCCTAAGAAGAGTGAAACAGAAGCCAAATCAGATATAAAGTAACAATAAAATGGGAGATTCAGGTATTAAAAACAAAAAACAAAAAAAACACAATATTCCTCTTACTTACCTCAGAGGGCAAATTGCTGCTGAAAACATTATCATCATCTTTGTTCTCTTCACCATTTTTCTCTACAGGAACCCACTCTCCATAAACACTATCTGCTTCTTTTTTTCGATGTTGAGATCCAGATGACACAGGAAACTCTTTTGTTAATGTTACCTGGCTTTTTGGTGGAGTTGGTTTTGCTGCAGCAATCTAAAACATAATGTGTTTCCTTAATTAACACTTAAGAGGTTTTTCAACATAATCTGAAAATAATTGTTCACTATTTCTCACAGTATTTAATAAAACATTAAAACAATTTAATTCCGTTTGAGTTTTATTTAAATAGTCCCTATGCTATTTCATCAAACCATAAACACTAATACTCACATTCAGATTGAAAAAAATGGGTTTGGGTTCACTGAGTTTAAAGGGATGATGATAAAAAGGAGGTTCTTCTTCCTCTTCATCCGAAACATGAGGCTTATTCACTATTACATCATCATCTTCTTTACTCTGTGCGATCTGTTTGCATTTCTTAAAAAATAAAAACAAAAGATAAATCTTACACTTTATGTGGAACATGTAGTTTTTTTAAAAAATCAAAAACCACATAAAATCAACTTTCAGAAATAAAACAAGATAAACAGGTTGTAGGTATGTAGCTTAGCTTATCGGCTATTATTTAAACACACTCTAGCTGTTCAGTCAGTCAACAACATTTATTGAGCACCTACTATGTGCAGAGCACTGTACTGGGCACTGTCCAGGGAATACAAAAAAAAAAAAAAAAAAAAGTAGAAGACATGGTCCCTGCTCCCAAGGAGCTTACAATCTAGTTCAAGAAACAGAATTACATACACATGAAATAATTGAGGAACGCTTTTACAGAGCAACACAATTAACAAGTGCAAAATGATATAATACAAATGGAATACATAAGTGCTGAAAGAATAAAAGCTTAAGAGAAAACAGAATCAGGCAGAATTTGATAACCAAGGGCTATTCCTTGAAGAGTTCTAAGCCAGATTTTCATAGTTAAGAACAAGGACTGGCAGGAAAAGAAAAAAGAGTCATCATAGTTAGATGGTGGTAAAAAGGTGAGAAACTTGTATTAGAAGGAACAAGAGGGCTGAAAACGAGGCTTAAAAACATACAGGGAAACACTAAGTGTTCACAAGGTTTTAGAGAAGGAGCTTAGATTTGATGAGCAAGTAATAGAAGCCTTCACTAAGTCCTTAAATTAAAAAAAAACTTGTAATTCATATTTCAATAAATCTAAGTGAGGAAACATTAAGAAACTATATGAACCCCCAAATGCATGGCAAAATAAAAACTTTGAAACATGTACAATTGGGCTAGATGGTCATGTGTCTCTCCATAAGTGTTTTGTAGGTTGAGTCTCTAAAGGAACAAAACTCAAGAATGGAAAATAAGGCATGATGGAGAGGGTGTTAACTGATGAAGTCTGACACATAAAGCAAAGTCAATTCCTTCCTGAGAAGCTAAGGAATAGACTCCATTACCTGGCTTTATAAAAAGGTCAGAGTAAATTTGGGTGGACTTGTCTATACAAGCAGTAGAATTTGTCACATCCATTATCAATTGAAAATGTTACAATAGGATAAAAAGCTCAATTGGCCAAAAAACACAGAGTATACCAAGCCTGTAACCAAGGGGAACAGAATATATTAACAGTGGCAGGCTGGCATAAGGCTAGCCAATAACAAGTTTCAATATATGAAACAGTGTGGTATTTCTGGATCCTAGCAGCAGTATTTCAGCGTCCTCCCAAAAAAAAAAAAAAATAATAATAAAAATAATATTAACAAAACAAAGCCAAAAAAAGCCTCAATTGAAAAGATCAAATTCTTAAAAACAGAAACAAGTGTGTCTAAAATATATGTTACTGCCAAAACCCGAACCGCAGGAAGAACTGATAATGGCCGGCCATTATCACCAATGGCTGGTACCAAACAGCCAAAACCCGAAATGTTGATGCGTAAGAAGTTCCTTTCAGGCAATGGCCAGCTATTCTCATTAATTTCCAAGCTCCGGTGGCAAAAGATCATTTCTGAAGATTGTCTGTGTCTTTGCGTATATGCAGTACACTCGTGGCGATCAGTGAACACGTCGTGAATGGAAACGAAACTGTAGGCGAGCTTCTGCGTGTTGCTCACTCAACACCTCCTCCATTCAAACGAACCGTCCCACTCCTCAGTCAGTTTGGCTTCTAAAACTGGAAAGCAAAAGTAATGGGAAGTAACTTTTAGCTAGCGGAGCTTAGCCATCCCGGATAATGGCCTGCTAAACAGAGCTTCTGCCGCTGCCACATCTGTATTTCGGGTTTTGGCCACTCGGTGCCAGCCATTATCAGTTCAGCCCACAATTCGGGTTTTGGCACGCTCCAGAGTCAACATCACTGAAATAATCCACTTAAGAATGTAAACAAATTCTGTCTAGCTTACCTCAGTTAGTTCTTCTATGGTAGCTCCTCCTGACTTTTTAGCAACTTTCTCTTCTATTGTAGGTGGAGGTGCAGGCTTTAGGTTTGGCGGTAAAGGAACACCAGCCTTAGCACACATGGCAGCTGCGTTAGCTTTGGCTATTTCAAGTAATTGAGCCTTGTCTGGAAGAGGAAAAATATAAGCAGTTTTCCCATAAGACTAATAAACACATTTTATTCTATCTAAAATCTTATACACTAACAAAATTAAAGGCATCAATTTTCTGCCCTAACATACAGTTGTGATCAAATCACTCTTCAGGTCAGTTTTTAAGCAAATGCCCCGATTAAGTCCACGTTTGGCTTCCCATTCACACACTAAATAGCTAAATTACCGAACCCTGCCAGACACTCTAAGACACACACACACACCTGAACAGCCCTCTTTGTTTTCCAAAAGTATCATGCCCTTAAAATTACTTTCCTTCTAATATGACATTTTAAATCACTCTTTAAGCCCAAATTCAACCTCTTCTAACAAGCCAGAATTTAACACTCCTCTTCAGTGTGCTCAAAAGTGCCCTGACTATACAAGTAATCATCACATTCTACTCTTTCTGGCAGGTTACTACTTGGTAAAACAGACATACATGCATTTTATCCACATCTCCTCTACTAACTTGTAATCGCTTCAAAGATAGGTAATTCTGTAAATAAAAAAAAAAAAAAGAACTCGGGGCGCCTGGGTTGGTTAAGCATCCAACTCTGGATTTTGGCTCAGGTCATGATACCAGCATCATGGGATTGAGCCCAGTGTCAGGCTCTGAGCATAGAGCCTGCTTGAGATTCTCTCTCCCACTTGTGCGGGTGCACTCTCTCTCCCTCTCTAAATTAAAAAAAAAACAAAAAAAAAACAAAAAAACCAACAACCCAACTTTTGCTTAACTGAATGAATTTTCCCTTACTGTTCTGGTCTTTTTCTTTAGACAACCCTGACCTGGAAATGTCGAATGTACTGACATAATGATAAATTATCCATTATTGCAGGTAGTCATGCACTATCCATCCACTTTTAATCATCCCTGCACACTTGTTAAATCAAAGGGAACTAGAGCACTCGATTTTAAAAGGCAGATTATTAAAATACTAAAGTCAATCTAATAAACTTAAAACCTTATTTTGCTATTATCACCAACCCAGATAAAAAAGAACTCCCCACCGTGCAAAATTCCCTACTCACTTCCATTACCCGTTATACCAATCAGAGTTACCTTTGCACACATTTAACAGCCCTGTGTTGCCATTTTCAATCATGGAACTTATTTAAAAAAAAAAATACACACTGTAATTTCAGGCTTGTGTTCAAGGATCTATGTTGGCATACATGCAGTAAAACAAGCTCAGCGTATACCAGCCTTACCTTTAACTAGACTTCTACTTTCCATTTTCAGTTACAGGAAATAGTTCAAACTTCAAGTATGTAAAAACATTCAAGTATGTAAACACCTTGGTTCTAATACACTCCAAAGCACATCTTTTTAACTCTAATTACTAATTTACTTATCCCTAAGTTTTCTAAAACCCATAATCTAATTACAGTTGACCCTTGAACAGGAGGGGTTAAAGGCACTGATACTGTCGTACTTGAAAATGGCATGTACTTTTGACTCCCCCAAAACTTAACTACGGATAGTACACCACTGACTGGAAGCCTTACTGATAACATAAACAGCTAATTAACATGTTTTGCATATGTATTACATGCTGTCTGCTACAAAAAACATTAAGAAAACCATTAAGGAAAACACATTTACAATACTAATACTTTATCAAAAAATTCACATATAAGTGGACCCATCCAGTTCAAACCCATGTTGCCCAAGAGCCACCTATATGGAAATTTAAAGATATAAATATTTACCTAAGCCAATAACCCAAAATATTCCATTTGACTCAAAGATCAGAAAAAATGGATTTGTATCATCCTCTATTACAATGCCAATAATTTTTTTTTT